TTCCCGGTCGACGCACTCCCCCGCTCGTTTAGCTCAGTGGTAGAGCGCCAGTCTAGTAAACTGGAGGTCGGGTGTTCGATCCACCCAATGAGCATCCCTTTCTTTTGCGCCCCCGGCCACCAGTGGTCCAGGCTGCCGCGGCGCTTAACCCACCGCGGCCCGGTTAACAGAGCCCGGACATGCCGAAGATGTGCGCGCCACCGCGGGCACGGCACATTCCCCCCTGCCCCCCCGGCCATGGCGTGGCGCAAAAGACCCGGCCCCGCAAGGGGTCGCCCCCTTCCGGAAATGGCCGGCCGTGTGTCGGGCTGCCGCGCGCCGGGGCCGGGCCAGCCCGGCACATCACCCGGCCGCCGGGGCCGAGTGCAACATCACTTTTCCCCCCCCCCCCGGCGGTATATGGTCCGCCGCCATAGCCCGGCTGCCCGGCCACCTGGTCCCTGGGCGCTGGCCGGCCGGCCGGCCGGCCGGCGGTGAAACATCACCGCTGCCGTCGCGCGTCGGCCGCCCGGGCAGGCTGGGCGGTGCCGCCATTACGTGCGCTGACGTGCCGACCCACACCGCCCCCGGGCGGGCCCCGGCCGCCGGGAGGGAGCGATCTGGCCGCGCGCCCCGCCGGCCACCTGTCCGCCACGGCACACGCCCCGCGAACGGCGCACAGCCCTCCCACGGCCATATCCGGCCGTCGGCACACACACACACACCCGCACACACGGAGCCAAGTAAACAAGCATCCCCCCCCCCCCTCCGCCGGCCGCCCGGGTAGTCACTTTTTGAAGATCGCCCCCGGGCCCGGCCAGTCGGGCGCCCCCTCCACGCCCACCCCCTTCCCCCTGATGCACATGCGCGCGCGCGCGCCCCCTCTCGCCCTTCCTGCCGCCCTCCCCCTCCCCCGGCCCCGCCACGCGATGGTCGAACGCGGCTTGCGGACACTCCACATCCGGGCCCCGGGGCTCCCCGCCCAGGCGGCCCTCCTCCACCAGTGCCAGGGCCCGCGCGAGTCGGACATCCCGCCCGGGGTGCTGGTCGTCTCGGGCGAGGCCTTCCAGGCCCTCGCCGGCGACGCGGCCCCCGCCTCCCCGAGCGACCCGCTGCCGGACATCTACGTCCGCCACCCGGCCGCGGGGGCCCTCTTCCTCGTCCGGTGCGTCCTCGCACCAGGCATTTCGCTCTATGCGTGGATGTGCGCCGGCACACATCCATCGGGCGCGCTCGAACGCATACACCCGCCCGAGGGGGTGCCC